AATTATCCGGTCATAACCTAACAGTCTCCCAGATAAAATATAAAGGTGCTAGGGTGCTACAAAAGAGATACGGCGGAATAACTGAATCCAAGACACAAGAAGAGCAGGGTGGCTTTCGGTCCCCGCGAAGCACATTTAACAGGACTTTCGCCCACGACACATTGTTGAAAAATCGTGGTTGTTCGTCCATTCGGGGTACATATGTTTCGTTGACCTAGAAAAACCCTATGACCGGACCCCACGCACTAATCTATGGCCATATTTTCGAAAATATCAGACCGATGGCCAGTTTCTACGAACCATCCAACCACTGTGCGATTATAAAAAGTGCCGCATAAAAGTAAATGGCGTTCAGTTGAAAACTTTCAGCGTTGGTACTGATCTATGCCAAAGTCGCGTTCTGTCTCCTCTCCTGTTTGTGTTGTACAGGGACATAATCAGCAGCAGCCAAAAAGATGAGAGCATCGGTGTAGAAGATGTCGAGAAAAGAAGGTTGCTGATTGCAGACGACCTTGTTTTATTGGCATCCTCTGAAACTGATCTATAGTGCTTCCTAGGAAAGTTCGTAGTCTAATGCGACGTGATCGGCATGCGAGTGAACGCATTTAAAACGTAAATCACAGCGCTTTCCCGTTCTCCTGCCCGTTGGCCTCTTCAGAGTAAGGGAGAAGCAGTGGGACAGGTGGAGAAGTTAAAGTACCTCGGAGTCGTACATACTGGTGATGGAAATAAGAGGAAGAGATCGACCGGGCAATTGGAATGGCCAGCGGTGTCCTGCGTAAAGTAGGCCAATCTGTTGTGAATAAAGCAGAGATAACTTACTGAGATTTAAGCTCCCTGAGTTCAAACTGATTTTCATCCTGATACTCACTTATGGTCATGAGGCGGGATCATGACTGAACATTCATCCCGAGTAGAAGGTGGTGAAATGATTCTTCGGAGACGATTCGTTGGACTATCGCGTCTCGACATGATCTCGAGTGCGCAGGTATCCGTGAGAGCCTTGTCGTACAGCCGCTGCTCATTTGGATTGAGAAATCATATCTGTGACGGTTTGTGCAAGCATTCCCAGTGCTTGCAAAAAGGAAGGCAGAGCAACGATTGCTTGCCCAACCAACCGGTCGAAGACCTCGGGGAAGGCCAAGAATAACATGGGGTAAATGTATGGAAAGAGTCTACCCCAGACTCCCGCTGACTTCTACCGAAGTTCGAAAAATGGCACTATTAAACGCGTCCTATGTGCACGACCCGAAAGGATCAGCGGTCAACGAAACTGACTGAACGGTACGGTAAAATACAAGTTCTAGTTAACATAACATGCTACTTAACTCTGACAATAAAGATTCTTTAAGCTGATAATGGAAACTGTCTTGTAACTGTATAACGTTTCCATACGAAAAACAGGAAACAACTTTATTTTAGAGGGCAGGGTCGGCATGTACAACTCTCAAGTCAGAGACGAGAGATAATCGTCAGCAAACGTGAGGTGCACGTTCAAACGAGGATCCGGACTGAATCTTGCCTCTTCCTCACTGAACTGATGCGTAAGGGAGTAGTGGCGCAGTGAGTAAGATATTCGGCTTCAAATCCGGAAGGTATCGGGTTCGATTCTAGCAGAAGGCTATCTTAGTTTTAGCCACGAATTCGCTTAATTAAAGAATTTACCCATGTTCCTCCAGATTGGGGCAGCTCGGTCGGTTGAGCGTTGGACCGAGAACCGAGAGTTCCCGGGTTGGAGCCCCAGTCAGATTACTCGCTTTTCTCCTCTCCGAAGTTGATACATTAGTAATGCTCTATGGGAAGAAACAGAAGATTACACACTAAGTGTGTTACATAATTGCTGTCCGTTCTGCCTTTAGAAGAAGATTAGGCACTCCTGACAGACGACAGGGAAACAGAGATAAGCGCTTAATTATTAACTTCATGAAAGAAAAGCGTCAGAAATGGCATCATCATGAAAGTTTTAGGAAGACATTTCAGCCATTGCCACCTTATCTTCCTTCCATCAGGTCAAGCTGCAACATTAAAAGACCTCAAAAATCGTGCGATGTCAATAGCAAACGGAAGAATCAACGAGGTATGCACAAATGATTCAATCCTGCGCAAATGTCAAAAGGGAATAGGGTTGAGCACTCTGCCCGGACTGAAGGAAATACGCCATAACTGCCTTCGAAAAACTTAAAATAGCAATTTAATGAACATGCTTTACGATTCAAAGCGAATTTGCTGCCACCTTGGAAGGTCTGTGTACTAAGCGTTGAAACAGCAGTAGATGTCTATAATCCCACAGACCAGCTCCCTACGCTATGTGCAAAAAAGACTGCACTTGGACAGTGCTTCAATTCATCATACCACAATAATAAAAAGGTATACCTCCTGTCACCTTTCGGGATATCACTTGTTTATAGTACGCTAGGGAACCGCTTAAGCAGACCACAGCTTAATGGCATTTTAGGACGTACAGCGGCAGGGCGCAATGTTGAGTCGAACAACAACGGATATCGAGCAAATTTTCACGCATCAAGGAAATACTGCATTTGCAACGTTCTCTCTGAAGCAGCTCTCTGTCTACTGCAACCAAAAAGTTTCGAACCACATCTTTTTCTGTCTAACACCTGAATTTCGTCGAATTTTTAGACTCAAAAGGATTGCAGTGGAGAGGACGTTTCAGCATGGATTCTCTTCACGCAAAACATAAGTCAGTCGTACAAATCGAAATAAGCGTTTAAATCGCAAAACTCTGATTTTACGATTTAACGCACCTCACCACTGCTACTAGACGCGTAGGGGCAATTAAGCAATCACCGATCGGTCATTATTTCGCAGTCACGATCTGAAGTAAACAAGGTTATTTGAAAACATACTGTGCTACATGCGTTGAGCATCAGTCACTCGCTGAAGCAATACCTTCCTTGTCAAAAATGATGTTCACCAGTCGGTACATCTGCCATTTCGGTCAAGCATCATAAATACGCTAGAGTATGCCAGAAAGTGAATCACTAAGGCGATATTTCACTGCATTCTGCACCATCCCTTACTTCTAGAGAGTTACAAGAAGAACATCGCATAATATCATTCGCACAGTGCAGCGTGTCACTCCAGCAAATAAACCGAGGCGAGATGTTCTTATGCTTATAGGCAATAATATTCTACAATAAGGTAGGCCATTGAAATGGTGCTCTGGACATTTTGGAGCAAGAGGGCAGTGCAATATGCCGTGATATCCCGCACTGAAGAAACTTAGTGCGTATTAGTATACGCTGAGGTATGAATCTGCATTGTTTGTACAAAGCAAAGGTAAAACAGATTACGCTTTTGACCCGGCTCCCATGAGTTTTTCCAGGTACAATAGGTCATTGCCTACTGGCTGGAACCTACCGTTTTGCCATTTGGCTGCTGTCTGAACACTCGTACACGTGACTGCAGTAACAAATAATTGCTGCTTATGAAAACATTCGTGAAACGCCCACCGCCACAACATCATTTCACTAAATCTCATGTGTGATCACGCAAACGATGAAAGAAGTTGCAGAAAGTTGTCGAAATTGCAAGTACTAATAGCAGAAAATATTTAATTCATAAATATCAACACAGATGACACACAAGGTTACGTGGTTTCGACTAGACCTGCTAGCGTTCTTCAGTAAAACTGACTAGGTTCACGGCTGTCGCTTTGGTGACAAGCTACAGGTGGCCGGAACGACAATGTCAACGACAGATATCAAATGATAACGACGACAACAAGTGACAATCACGTAAAAAGCACTAGACTGATCGGAATTTGCCACATCCTTTGTGCACGAATAAATTATTGACATGACTGAATCGAAATATACATATCTTGGTTAAAGACGGGGTAGCAAGTCTAGTCGAAACCTGTTCCTCCTGTGTAAAATCGCATGCCATGTGTGTTGAATGAAATGCTTTCTGCCAACGAAAGAAATCGCTCACCTTTTGAATTTCGTTCAGCAGCAGATGATTGCCATTCAAAAAACCCAACGCGTATGCGCCAATGAACTCGTTCGCCTTCGTGAAACGCTAAAACAAAATCGCAGCTTAGTACGATGACGGAAAACAAGCAAAAATTCGACGTACTCCTTTTTTGATCAGGGTCCATAAAGCTTTAAAAACGCACTCGCATTCGATGTTGACCGCAAACGAAAACTAAAAGCAGTCGGGTAACTGAGATCTCGAAAAAAAGTTAAGAACTCAAGGGGGAAGGCTGCGTAGAAACTTCGTTCAGGTAATACCGCGACTATGAAGAAGCGCTTACGACCTAATGACATAGTATGATCATCTTCCGTTCACAGGAATGGCAATATAACGAAGCGCACGTTTCGACAGATTAGACAGACTCTGAAATACCTGGCTACTGATTCCACAGAACACGAAAACTTCGCTAATCATGCAGTCGATTATTTACCTAAGCTTAAAACACTTGGCTCTAAAATGAATATGATGAAAGACCGCGATGTTCGATGAAGAGAGACGTAGATTAAGACACGTTAGATCCGCTGTTTAGCAACTACCTGATTTGATTTTGCTGTAATACAGGGTGAGATGCCACCGAGAATATTCACGAATTGCGGATAGGGGAAAGATCCTCAGACATATGGATTAGCTGTGAAATAAACAGGGACACTGACATATAAGCAGCGCTAGCGCTTGCGACAATCCTACACTGGTCGGACTGGTAAAAGTACCGCAGTGTGACGCGGCAAAGACATGCCCCCATTAAACAGACGTGCTGCCAAATCCGAAGAAGCTGTAGCCGATCCCATCCCATGTTGAGACGCACCACTTATATATCATGAAATCGTATAAATCGTCACCTTCCGTTGCTATATCGGGCCATTCGTCGAGTTGCAAATCTTGGGAGCGCACGCAACAGTTCAGGTATCGGTTTCAAACAATGATTCTGATTCGCTTATGAGGAGCATCACACAATATATTTCGAACCTAGGTTCCGTCCTATGCAACATTACTATTTGTTTAACACTCTGTTCATTACATATAGTTGAAATCGGCCAGATATATCTTCGTTTAGAACTCAGCACATACTTTCCTTCACATTTCTTAATTTACGCATTTCTGCTAATCAGCAAGATCCCCGATGACCTCGGTTTAAGCAAGAAACCGTGAAACCGAACCGAACTGAATAAATAATTAAAGGATTTCTTTCAAAACTGTGAGCAAGAAAAGGTGATACGATAAATATGAAAAACTTATGATAACTTGAAGAGTAGCAGTCACTGAAACAGGAGGCACCGGTGAAATTAGCGAATCTTTAGTTAAGTAACTGACTACACCAAATGTGTTAGACCAGGCTTGCTTAGTCAGTAAAGCGTCGGACTGAGAACCGAAAGGTCCAGGGTTCGAGGCCCGGTCGGGTCACCCACCTTTCTTCCTCCCGAGGTTAATAAGTGTGTACGGCTTTGTGGGAAGAAAACAGGAGGCTACACGCTTTGTTTGCAACACAGCTTATGTCAGACCTGTCTTTAAAATAAGGCATTCGTGGCCGATGGCATGGAAATGCAGATCAGTGACCTATCATTAACTTCATACAAAGCACAATAAATTGCCCCATCGTGAAAGTGTAAGGAAGACCCACATTCCAATGGTCACAAACTTTCCCTTCCTTTCTGACGAAACGCAGATTTCAATATCAGACTGCTATTCACATGTAGTTTACAAATGCAGCTGCAGGCTACATAAAGTCGAAGGGTTGTGGGCTGTGCGTTACTCGTTTAAAAACGACAGTGTTGTATACCTTTTGGTAGTTTTCGATGGCAAACCGAAAATGAGTGATGATGTCGTCGAAACTTATGCGGAAAGGGTCAGCTGACAAAGCAACGTGTTGGCCTCCATACGGAGACTCTGCTGCTGACTTCCTGATCAAATCTTTCAGTTGTCCAGGGCTGTAGGTGGACACTCGGTGAATCGGTGAGCAGAGGCTGCGGCCGTACTTCAAAGTTGCGGCAGCGCATGCACTGCCTTCGTAGGCGCCTGAAAGCAACGCAATTATTAAACCGCGAATATTGCTTAAGTGCCAAATCGCCTGAGCGCTCAAGTGCCAATTCGCTACCAACATAAATGTTACGACAGTGTAACAACACAGATGCACTGATATTCAAAAAATAAAGCTGAGCTTGGAATGGTGCATGGAAGAGAACGTGTAAAATAACCAAAATTTAAAGGGTCAATAATTTTTATTCAGACACATATTCTCACATAATAGATGTACGTGATTACTTCTTAATGAGTCTCCAACTTTGAGTAAGCAGCGTCTTCATGCAGCGGCAGATGTTTTGGGCACGACAACACAAGAATATAAACTTGGTGCTGTATCAGTTAGAGGAAGTGAGACATTTTATGTTTATAAAGCTCGTTGGAGTAAAATTTTTAGTTTAAGCTTAAGTATAAACCACTAAGCAACAATAAAATAGAGAAATTCTTAAAAATTCTTCACAGTCGAATATGCTGATATCTCAAATGTAAACCAACGCTTACCTTCCAAGGCTTTTCACTAGAAATTATATGTGTCTAATGCAGCCAACATACTACAGCTCTTGGATGAACAACATTTGATCTGTCATCTATTATTAAGAGTACAGTTCTTTGGGCAAAAACGACAAGACGAACTCTCTATTTTAAAAACAACGTCTTAACCCGGTACTTAGGAAACTGCCAATAACAAGAAATATACTAATCCTTGAAACTATTTAAACAGTTTATATTAAAGATGAAGGGAAAACAAGGAAGACAATGAAAAAGTGAAAAGGGAAAAATATGAAAAAACGCAGAAAAGAGATCAAAAAGAGGAAGGAATGATTAAGGGGAAGATTATGAGGCCGCTGAAAAAAGAAAACAAAGCAGACAAAGTGTAGGGATTAAGGGGAAGAAGACAAGGAAGAACAAGATGAAGTAGAAGGGGAAAAAACAAGACGTGAAAGAAGATAAAGCAGAAAAAGAGGAGCAAAAAGATGAATAAATGCCAAAAGAGAAAAGAAGTGCAAGAACAACAAAATCAAGGCAGGAAATACAAGAACACTTATGATTCTTATTTTTTAAGATAATTAATGATTCTTCCAAGACTGGATTCCATGGAGTATCTTACCGCCCCTTTGCTCCTAGTTGCCAAATGAGGTGGGTGGAGCGTATTTAGACAGACCACGGCTTCATGGTATTTCAGCACCTGTAGTCCCAAGTGCACATAGCGTCACTTTGTTTTCTAGAGCCACCTTGCGCTCATTACGAACGATGTTTCAAAAGCCGGCATTCCTCGTGTGCTACCGCATATGCATCAGAATATGTTCGCAAACCGAGGTATGTCAGTTAACGCTTAACTCCGCCAAGACCAGATTTTACAAAGCATTGCACTGTATAACTCCCTACCCTTTAAGGGAAGCCCAACGGGTTTATTTACGCTGCAGCTGCTTACTGCGGAATTAAAACTGCATCCAATAAAATGATGCGACATGCATGTAGTGGTACGGGAACAGACGGTGCTTCGATACCATGAACAGCCTGCTTAGACAGCATTGGAAAACAGTGTTGAAAGAAGCAGTCGAATAAGCTGTGAAACCAGGCTTCATGGAACCTATTCACTTGCGGTACTACACTCGAGTGACAATCAAATCATAGTTTGTTGCACTTTCAGCATGACAATTAACACGAAGACAAATTACATACTCTCAAATTACATAAATTTGAATAAACATCACTTTTTAAAGCGAAAAGATAACCCGTGCATACTCGAAAGTCTCATCCAGAACAGTAGGACAAAAAGCACTGAAAAGTATGATTATACTAACCGTAAGGCATGCAGCTGCCGGGGGACGAGATTTACTTAGTAGACAAAACTAAATTCTGATGTTTTTTGTTCTAACTCCGTTTCCTTGTCACCTATTTCCGGTTCACCTCTGAGAAGATGGAATAATCTGACTTTCGAAAATTTAACCATATTATTAAACCACAACTGGCAAGTTGCAACGCGGTAGTATGACGAAGTTCTTTCCCAGTAGCACGGATGGAGAATTTCACCTTTCGCTTGCAGTAAATCTGGATTTATGCACAAAAATATATTCATTCATAACTTCTTAGCAAAGCCAAAGTACCAAGTCTATAGATATATGTACCTGCGAGCCAAAGAAAATCGTTGGCTGCCTTCAGACAGTCTATCGACGAATTATAGGCATAGAGTGCCAGGGCAGGAAGACCAGTCATCAACGTACAGTCGGCGACCTGCTTTCTCAGTCGGCCCAGACATCGTTTTCTGTAATTTCTACAAACAGGACGTTCGTCAAAGCACGAAAACAACAAAAACAATCACGTCCGAATGCAAGAAGTCGTACTCACGAGCAAATGAACAATCTAGAAACATAACGACGTTTACGGCAGTAAGCAAGGGCAGTGTGTGCGAGAAAACAAGCAACATGTATCGATGTAGTGATGCACATTCTTGATATGCATCTTCGAATGAACAGCATCCTGTTCATTAAACTGAAAACCAGCAGAAGAAAAGGAAAGTTACAAAATTAAGAACATGCGCTAGTGGTACTGCTAACTGCGTAAATAACGGAATTCTTGTTTTCAAATTATTGTAGAAATTTGGAAGTCGCGAATGACAATGCCAAATCCAGCAAAAACTCGCTGCAAGAAGATGATATTCATATCGTGGCAAGAACTGAGTTA